GGGGAGAGGGGGGTGGGCAGCAGGGAGAGGAGGTGACAGTCAAGCAAGCAATAGCTGCATCAGCCACGACACTGCAGCAGTGCGGGCTTCCTGGGAGCAGTGCCCAGCCCGGGGGCTGGGGACAGGCACTGCCAAGCAGCAGTGCCCACAGGAAGGCACTGCAGGAGTGCCAGTCTCCTGGGGTGCCCTGCACAGCACCTGGTGGAGGGAGGCTGCCCAGCCTCCAGCCTGACTCCCTTCTCCCCACCCTGAGCTATGGGCTCTCTGCTGTGGCTCCATCCCAACCCCTTATCCCAGCTTATCTGCCTCTGACCTCCTTTCCGGACAGTGCAGCTGATGCCAGGGATTTCAGGGTGGTTCTTTGCTCTGTTCAAAGGAAAGCAAACAAGAGGAGGACGTGGGAAGCAATACAAGTGGAGGGAAGGGTGCAAAGGACTAGAGGGGACAAGAAAGCAAGTGAGTGGTGGGTGGGGCAGGCAAGGCTAGATTTTGGCTTGTCATTTGGCTTCCTGGCTCCGACAGGAGCAGGTGGATGTGGGCAGAGAGACGTGACCACAGGCAACATGACCACACAAGCAGAGAGGTCCTGCATCTGGCACTGGTCTTGCTGTCAGCAAGCACTTTAATGGGGTGCCGTTCCTCCCTCCCCCCCGGAGGCTGTTGGGGCACGGCCAGGGCACTGCTGCAAAGGCAGCTCGCAGCTGCACGGGCACGGCTCCTGAGGAAGTTCCCGCGGCGTGTGCCAGATGGCGTGAGGAGTGCTGCCAAGGCGGCTGATGGGGGATCCCAGCCCAGATGGACATGGTGGAGGGCCCTGTACGGGCTCCAGAGAGCCCTGGTGTGGCTGGCTGAAACCCCCCAGCCTGGGAAGCTCTTGCAGAAACTTCCACGCGGCGCGATTTCCTCTGTGCCCGTGTGATTTCCACCCACCCCAGGCAGCATGGTTGAGAGCTGACCCCAGCTTCCCCCAGGCTGCTTCTTACCTTCCCTCAGCGCTGTGATGTGCTGTGGGCAGCCACCCCCAAACCATGCCCCAGCCCTGTGCTGAGCCCCAGTGCCAACCCTGCCCCTGCCAGGTGCTCACACAGCATGATTCCGACTGGGGGAAAAAAATGCCTCCCACCACCCTTGCCCTCTGCACCCAGCTCTGTGTGGGTCTGGCTCTGCTTAGGGTTCAGTGAATCATCCGTGGGAGCTGGGGAGGGAAAACCTGGCAGGGGAGGGGGTGTGGGGTGACACATGCCTCCCAGCTGCCACTGGGGAGGAGGAGATGCAGCTCCCCAGCATCACAGCTGGGGGAATAAGGAGGTGAGACTGGGGGGGTGAGTTATATTGGACCCCCCAGGGAGCAAACTTCAGCAAGGGAAGCTCTTTCAGTCAGCCCCCCTCACCCACCAGCCTGTTTTCCACGTCAGGTTTAACTAGGTGCATCCAAAACGCCCAGCCTCCTCACCCAACAGCCTCCCAGTCCCATCCGCTCCCCTGCGATCAGGAGCGGAGCGAGGGGTCGGGATGCTCAGGCAGGGCCTGGTCCCCCCTCCCTCCCCAGCCCCGTCTGCCATCTCTGAAGCAGCAAGATGGCTCCTGGGGCTGCCGGCCTCCAGCAGCTGCCGCTCGCTGGTTCCCTGCTCGCCGGGACGCGGCCTCCCTCCCTGTTCCCCGGCACAGGGAAGGGAGACGCCGGGAGCTGGCACCTCAGGGCTGTGCCAGCTGATCCCTGGCAGCAGGGAGCACTGGGGAGGAAGGGGACAGTGCTGGGCTGTGGGCTGGGGACAGAGGGAGGGAGGGAGGGCTCCCAGTGTGTCGTCTTCAGTGAAGGGACAGAGTGCATTCGCACGGATAACCAGCTCTGAAAAATGCGGGTAGATTCCCACAGTCTGGGTTTTAATAACAATTCCTAAATTTCCTTGAGCCAGTAATTGTAGCTCCAGCTCCCCGTGCTGATCTTCGTTGAGCTGCCTTCTCTCTGTCGGCGTCTTGTCTAGATATGAGAAGGGTGAACATCACATCCTGGGGCTTCTCAGAGCTGAAGGTGTCTTGTCCTCCCCACAGGCTGACCATGGCAGTCGAGAGGATCCATGCCCGTGAGATCCTGGACTCCCGTGGGAACCCCACTGTTGAGGTGGACCTGTACACACACAGAGGTACGTGGGTGAGGGTGAAAGATGGAAGGGCAGTCCTGCCCACCCCGACAGAGCTGGGGCTGCACGGCAGCCTGGCACGCTCTGCTGGGAGCATGGGGGGTCTTCTCTGGTGAGAGGGTCTTCTCTGACTACGAGGCCAAAACTCTGCTTGTGCCTGTGTTGACGTGTGTGCTGAGCAGCTCTGCGTGTGTGCTGGGCAAATCCTGATGAGACAGCTGTCTGCCATGGGTGTGACTTGAGCCACGTGCCTGCTAGTAGCAGGGATGGCAAACTCTGTGAACGTTTACCACCTTGTCACATCCCTGTGATGCTCCGCGGCAGCTGTGCTTCTAGTCCTGGGGCACAGCACAAGTTTGGAAACACATCCATGGCCATGCTCGTGAGAGGCTGGGAGGTTTAGCCCCAAGATCTCTGTGCAGGCACACACATGCAGACGTGTCTCAGCTGGAAGAGTTGTGCCTGCATGGGGCCCAAAGCAAGGTGGGCAGAGGGGTGAGGGGCCAGGGCAGGCATCTGACCAGTCTCTTCCTTCTTCACCGAGGCAGAAACCCTGCCCCAGTCTGAGAGGGAAGAAGCCACTCTTGGTTGTGGGTTGGGCCACCTGTAGAGCCAGGAGGAGGGCTGAGGAGCCAGACTTCCACCCCTCATTCCTAGTTCTGGGAATGATGTGGGCCTCTGGCTGGCTGAGGTCCAAGGTTCCCTGTCTGAAAGCCCTGGGTGCAGCCACCCTAGTGCTCCGCCTTGGAGAAGACCATCCGTGAGCTCTCAGCCAGCAGGGCCATCCATCTGCTGGAGTGCTGGCCCCCTCCTTTCCCATGGAGGCAGGGCAGAGGCAGATGCATGCAGGTTTTGCCTCCTCTTCACCCTCTGCCCCTCTCACGCCCACTTTCTGCTCTTTCCCAGGCATGTTCCGAGCAGCGGTGCCCAGCGGCGCGTCCACTGGGATCTACGAAGCGCTGGAGCTGCGAGACAACGACAAGTCACGTTTCCTCGGGAAAGGTGGGGAGGTGCCTGCCCTGCACCCCGGCCCTGGGGCTGCGTGGGGGGCTCCATCAGAGGGATCTTACCCGCTTGGTGGGGTGTGGATGTGTCCCGCTGCGCTCAGGGAGACCACAGAGGCACAGACCTAGCATAAACTGAAAGATCAGGCCTTGAGCTTTCCTCGCTGTCCCCCTCTCTCAGTCTCTCTACGGGTCCTCTCCTTCTTTTCACTCTCCTCTTTGCCTTACCCTCTCTCTCTCTCTCTCCCTCTCTCTCTTTCTTTATCTCTTCCCTTCTTTAGGGGTCCTGCAGGCCGTGGATCATATCAACAGCACTGTCGCCCCAGCTCTCGTGGGCTCTGTAAGGATTTCTCTTTGTTCACCCTTGTCCTACGCTTACTCTGGTCTGTCCCTGTCCCCCGATCTGCCTCTGCCTCTCTTCATCCCACTGGGTTAACAGACATGGTGATGCTCGCTGTGCACCTGGGCAAAGCCCCCCTGTCCTCCCCATGCCTGTGTGTGTCCACAGTGACCTTTTCTCTGGGACAAAAGGATGTAACGCTAACAGGTCCACTGCAGCATCTGTGCCTCCTAACCAGTCCCTCCCTGTAGAGCTCTCCCTCTTCTAGATGTGCTCCTCCTCAAGCACTGAATGTCACCCACCTGCTGTGGCCTCACACCCAATCCATCCCACCCAGCGCTCCAAGCGTGATGAGCAATCCCTGTACCCGTGCAAGGACTGGCAGCCCTCCCAGCACAGCCTTGCAGAGTGGTGCTGCCACATCTGCAGCCTGTTCACAGCAGAAGACCTGGAGCCTGCTCTGAGGAGAGCTGAGCTGAAGCCACACATTACACCCTGTGCAGACCATAGGGGATCTGGCTGAGAGGCCAGGTCTTTCCACCCTGAAAAAACACCTGGCCTGGTGCAGGGTTGCCTCTTTTGGGGCTAATCCTGTGCTCCACCTCCCTCCTGGGGACAGCTCCATCCAGACTACATTTGCTTGCTTGGGGTTGAGCATGTCCTGTCGTTCTGCCTAGCTTCTGTGTGACCCACAGCACCACAAAGCTCCTGGGAAACTGCCAGAAGGCTGGGTAAATCCCCACGGGGCTTCTGTGTCCCCAGCAATCCGTGGCCTTGCCCGGGCCGCTGCCGATCCCCTCTCAAGCCTTGGTACATCTACATTGCACTGCAGCAACCTCATGGTGGTTACCTCACTTGTCTGTACACTTAGGCACTAATTTCCAGAGCTTTGTGTGCATTTGTTCCCTCACAAGCTGAAAAGGTCTCTGTACCCCTGGCTTCTCCATCAACGCCTCCTTCCTCACACACCAGTGCCAACTGCTCTTCTCAGCCTCCCCATCTCAGGAGCTGTTTCTTCCTTGCAGGGCCTCTCTGTGGTGGATCAAGAGAAGATAGACAATCTGATGCTTGAGATGGACGGCACAGAGAACAAATGTAATTAATTCTTGTTCTTTTTAGCCTGGGAGGTAAAGACCATGGGAGGCTGCAGGGTTGGAGCAGGGAGCACTGTCAGAGCTGCGGTGAGCCCAAGGCTGGGATAGCAAGGGCACCTGCAGGGCAGGAGGCCATTACCTGTGAAGCCCAACTCCTCCTTGGTTTTGCCCACAGCCAAGTTTGGTGCCAATGCTATCCTGGGAGTTTCACTGGCCGTGTGCAAGGCAGGAGCTGCAGAGAAGGATGTCCCTCTGTACCGCCACATTGCTGACCTGGCTGGCAATTCCGATCTCATCCTTCCTGTGCCAGTAAGATCCCTCTGCCCTTGATATCCACCTTCAGAGACCCCGAGAGAAACTTCAAAGGGTGTGTTGGGAGATAGAGAAGAAAGGGATGTAGGAAGGCCTGAGATTTCTGAGGATTCAATCCTGAGAGGAGGAGCCCAAGGGGGATGTGGCAGAGGTGGTGAGGGTCAGCTGAGAATCTCACTCTTAGCACCAAAGCCAGAGGGCATCATGTGAACCCCTCTCTGGCACAGTTCAAAACAAGGGAATGTGGATCTTCACACCAGGGGTGGTTGCCCTATGAAATCTCTTCCTAAAACAAGTTGCAGATGTTAACATTTTCTCAAGAGTCAAGGAGAAAGGTTCCTGGAAGACAGATTGACTCAGCACTGCTGATGAATGCATGCAGATAGACACAGCAGAGATGCACACATATTGCTTAGGAGATCTCTGAGAGGGAAATGGGTGGGAAGGTCCAACCATTTGCTTTGAGCTACTCCTGGAAGGAAGACCCCAGGCTTATGGGTGCCTTTAGTCTGACTGCCCTGTAGCTGATGTGTTCTGCTACCCTGCGGGATGTGGGCATGAATGGGCTCGGTGACTTCTCTGAGAGCCTCCTCTAGGTGGTGTCAAGACCAGTTTCTTCAGCTTTGATTCTCTTACCTACTCTTCCAGGCTTTCAATGTGATCAATGGAGGTTCCCATGCAGGCAACAAGCTGGCCATGCAGGAGTTCATGATCCTGCCTGTGGGAGCTGAAAGCTTCCGTGATGCCATGCGCATCGGGGCTGAAGTCTATCACAACCTCAAGAGTGTCATCAAGGAGAAGTATGGCAAAGATGCTACCAACGTGGGTGATGAGGGAGGCTTTGCCCCCAACATCCTGGAAAATAGTGAAGGTGAGAGCCCTGCAGAGATGGGGTATCCCTGCTGGTAAAGCTGTGGCTTCCCATACCCTGCTCACAGCATCCCCCAAAGATTAGTTCAAAATATGATTCCTCATTGTCATTGACCTCCTGTGTTAGGGAATTATTTCTAAGCTCCTTCTTCTTGGGGTGGCCTTGCTCTGTCACTCCATACAAACCTTTCAAGCATTTGCATACGTTTCCAAGGCCTTCCCCCAGCTTGTCTCTGAGCTATGATGTATTTTCATTCCTCCTCATCCCTTTGGACTTGGCGTCCACAGCTCCTTGTTGTTTCTGTTGGGCTCTGGGCTCCCTCCTGCTCCTCCCATCACACTCTCAGACCCTCAGTGGCTCTCAGAACCCTCCCAGAGGAGGTTCCCACCAAAAGGCAGAGATCTCTGCACGGGCTGACATTCTTGACTGCAACTCTCTCCCTCCCAGCTCTGGAGCTCCTCAAGGAAGCTATTGACAAAGCAGGCTACACAGACAAGATTGTCATCGGGATGGACGTGGCAGCCTCCGAGTTCTACCGTGATGGCAAATACGACCTGGACTTCAAGTCCCCAGATGACCCAAGCCGCTACATTTCTGCAGATGAGCTGGGTGACCTCTACCAAAGCTTCGTACGTGATTATCCAGGTGAGCTGCTGTGCTAGGGCAGCAGGGAATCAGCACTGGTGTTGCATTCTTAGCAGGTGCATCCTTTCGGTGTTTTTTGGGGTGGGGAAGGAGATAGCTTTGACTCATGGCTTTGACTCTGTTGTCTCTTCAGTGGTCTCCATTGAGGATCCCTTCGACCAAGATGACTGGGAGGCCTGGGCCAAGTTCACGGCCAACGTGGGGATTCAGATCGTGGGGGACGACCTGACAGTGACAAACCCCAAGCGCATTGAGCGAGCTGTGGAGGAGAAGGCCTGCAACTGCCTCCTGCTCAAAGTCAACCAGATTGGATCCGTCACGGAGGCCATCCAGGCGTGAGTCGTGTCTGCTGCCCCTGCTGCCCTGCCAGGGGGTTGGTGACGAGCTGCAGCGGGGTGTCGTGCTGTCAGCTGGACGAATAGGCTTGTGTCTCTACCGGAGAGAAGGCTGCCAAGGGTGGGAGGAGAGGGTGCCTGGATGTCACCCTGTGGAGGTGGTGGTGATAGGAGGGGGAGCTACTGATGGCATTTCTCGCTTGTGCAGCTGCAAGTTGGCCCAGGAGAATGGCTGGGGTGTGATGGTGAGTCACCGATCCGGGGAGACCGAGGACACCTTCATTGCTGACCTGGTTGTGGGACTGTGCACTGGGCAGGTAGGTGAGACCTGGGCCACGCACAGGCTTGCAGGAAAGCAGTGGGGTGTGAAGGCAGAATCCCCTACCCCAGCAAACACAACTGGTGCAAGTCATAACAGTGTCTGACAGTGCTTGTTTTGGGCAATGCTTTACAGATAAAGACGGGTGCTCCCTGCAGATCTGAACGCCTGGCTAAATACAACCAGCTCATGAGGTAAGGGACTCCAGGGATGGGAGCAGAGAAGAGAGAATGGGGGAGTGGCTGATTGGGGTGGGAGGAGCTGGAAGTCCAGGGGTAGATGGGGCTTGTGGGGAAAATGTTATGAAGACAAGGCATGGAGATGACAGTAGGACCCTGGGGAGGTCTCTGGAGCAGACTCCTTCCCTCCTCCTTGGCATGAGGGGGCAGCCCCACATGTGCAGGAGCTGGCAAGAGCTGAGCTCCTCTGGCCAATGCCAGCTTCCTGGCCAATGCATCTTGTCTCTGGCACCCTGCTGCCTCTGATGCCCCTTCACAGCAAGGATTGTGCCATGTCCCCTCTGTCTCTCTCCTGCAGGATTGAGGAGGAGCTTGGCGATGAAGCACGCTTTGCCGGACACAACTTTCGCAACCCAAGTGTTCTTTGAACATTGTCCCCAGAGCACAGCCACCATGCTGCTCCTTCCCACCTCACAGACTCTGAAGCACCCTTCCCTCTACTGTTCCCTTTTTTGCTCTTTCTTCTCTCTCTGCCACCCGGTTCCCTCTCACCTCAGAGCCCCTCACGTTCAGGTGTCCCTGGCTAGATGTACCAAGGTGAAGGATGACAGAGAAGCCTACACCCTGTCCCTCGCTTCAGGGTCATAAGCATTTCAGGATCTAGGCATTGTGTGTCTTTTGGGTTTTGTCTTTTTTTTCGTGCAGGGTCACACCTGAGCCACCCTTGTTCACGTGTTAGATGACAGCAGAGCATGCTGCCCGGTGTGTGTCCCTTGTACGCCGAAGCACGTGCAGTGATCATGTGTACGTTGGCTGGTGTGTCTGGACGTGTGTCGCACCCCTAGCTGTGTTTGGATGAGTGTCACCAGTGGCTGGCTCTCCCTGTGCATGTGTGTAGGTGTACGTGTCCCGGCCTACGGTGTCCTTGTGCCCCAGGCGTATGGTTGTGCTGAGCGCTGGTGGGACCTGAGGGTCCCGTCCCTCCACCCCCAGTGCTGTGCTGTGTTGGGCTGTGCTTGCCAGCAGCTTGGCCTTGAAGTGCCCTGCTGTCCCTCACTGGGTGTGCCTGTGTGTGCTAGCAGTCTCCGGGTCAGCACATAGCACTGGGGGGCAAAATATTAGAACACATCCGTAAACAAACCCATGCTCTCATTTGCTTCTCGTGACCTTTTTCTCTCAGATCCCTTCCCTCTTGCACCCCCTTCACTCTCTCTTCTGCCCATAATGTTTGCTTCACCTTCTGGACAGCCCATGCTCAGCTGAGCACCAGACAAACTACAGATCCCTACATTCAATTAAAATTTATTTCACACCTGAGGTGTGTGGCTTGGCTTGATGTTTCTCTCTACAGTGGCTGGGAAACGGGGACATTTTGCCACCAAGGCAGGAGAGGCTCATGCAGTAAGGTAACCAAAACAAGCAGAGGGGACTGGCAAGAGAAAGAAAAGGCCCAGGTACCCCCACCTCCCTTCACAGCCTTGTCCCACAGCCAGCCTGCTGTGTTGGCCACCCAGCTGGGGAGCACTGAGGGAAAGGCAGATGGGAGGGTGGGAACTGCCCCCACCACCTCCACCAAACTGTGTGGCTTGAAGATCTTCTTTGCAGGGCTTTTAATTGTGCCCTCGACTGGTATAAAGACCTCAGGGTGGGTCACACGCCAGCTGCCCAGTAGACTCAAGGAGTGGGAAGCTGGAATTGTGAGTCTTCGGGAGAGAAAAGGCTGATCCTTCTCCCAGCCCCAAAAGGAGTTTGCAGAGCACTGAGTAGAGGAGTGGGTGGTGTGTTGGTCTCTCTCAGCTCTGTCTTGTCTCACAGGAATAACACAGGGGAAAGGAGATTGTGCTCCAGCCCTGGCCCAGCAGGCTGAGTGCCAGCAAACCCCAGCTCCTGCTCAACAGTCTTACTCTGGACAGACTCCAACTGAGGCTGAGGATGCTACTGTGAGAGATCCAACCCAAGCTGTGTTGGAGAATAAAATATAAAACTGCCTGTTCGTTTCAGTAACCCCTCTCATGCACTGGGGCACACTCAGGTCTTGCACACCTCCTGCCCCACCTCACTACAGAAAGATTCCAGACCCTTCCTTAAGCCACACCACCTTGTATTTTATGATGAGCAAGGACAAAGGTAAAGATGGAGATTGCTCAGCCCCTGGGCTGTGTTCTGATGCAGGCTTGAGAACCAAAAGGCAACACTTGGGAACACTGGCATCTCGCTGCTGATTCTTTACCAGAGTGCAGAAAAGGGAGTAAGTTCAAGAAGGGAAGACAAAGGCTGTGGAACGTGTGCCCAGAACAGAAAAGAGGGCGGGAGGGAGAATGTGAGGGTAGTGACAGGATTGGTTTCCAGGGCATTGCCAGTGAATACAGAGCAAACCTCGCCGGCAAGGAGCAGCTTGTGCCCCAGCTGCAGCCCCCCTCCTGCCCTGGCCTCAGCGACGCCTTCAGCAGGGTCGCTGTGGGGTAAAGCACCGAGCAGCCAGTGCATCCAGCCCCACACCCCACGCGGGT